CCCAAGACTGTGCTTAGACTCGCCCCAAGGCTCTCCAGGACTGCCTTGACTCTCAGACTGCCTCTCTCTACTGCGTCTGTCGTGGAGTACTCTTCAAGACCAACTCAAACTCTCTTTATTCATTTTCAAAACTCTAACCAATTACAAAGCAGTAAAAAGACTCTAAGGCGTAAACTTCAATCATAAAGCCAATCACACTAAGTACTGAATACGTCATATCTTTTGATTAATCGTTCACTACATTAATAACTACGAATACCAACTGTCAGAAATCGTAGTCAGAATAGCGACGGTTATCTCGTAATTAGTTCCAAATCACTGAGCCAAGTTCCGTCCAAAACTTCAAACAGGCCTAAACGATGACAGACATAACACAGCAATTCGCTAATAATCAACTAATTAAGTCGACCAACAGATACGCGAAAACAAATTCATGACAATAGACCTAAAATATATTACGAATATTCACTTTTGAGATATAATTTTTGGTATGTGTTGTTTCTTGGATATTTCAGCCCCGTCGTTCTGTACTTCATTTAGTAATTCGGACTTCCCAGAATGCGTAAAAACAGATATTTTCACGATTTTGACAGCAAAAGTGCCTTAGCTAAATCATTTGCTGAGGTACTGCCGCTTAGGTAAGTGTACTTTAACTTGCAGCACATGAACCTAAAAGCGTTAGGCAATCAAACAAAAAATGTCTTCTTTTTATAGCATACACATGGTTTTCACACTCGCTTATTACCTTCTCAAAGGCGAGTAACTTCTGTTCCGCTCATATGTGAACAATGGTTCAGTCCCGTACATTATGCTACTGTCATGAATTTGTTTTTGCGTATCTGTTGATCGACTTAATTAGCTGATTCGGACTACTATTTCTGACAGTTGGTATTCGTAGTTATTAATGTAGTGAACGATTAATCAAAAGATATGACGTGTTCAGTACTTAGTGTGATTGGCTTTATGATTGAAGGTTACGCCCTAGAGTCTTTTTTCTGCTTTGTAATTGGTTAGAGTTTTGAAAATGAAAAAAGTTATTTTAGTTGGTCTTGGCGAGTACAGCACGACAGACGCAGTCGAGAGTCCAGTCCTGAAGAGTCTTGGGCGAGTCTTGGGTCAGCCTTGCGATAGTCTTGGGGACTTTTCCCCAGGGCGTTGTGTCTTATAGAGTGCTCGACTGATCGACTAAGACGAGAGTTGAAACGTATTTCGTTGTGCGTGTCTTATTTGACTGTAAAGCTTAAGTGACTTCCCCGATCCCGCACCTCAAGGGGACGCGATATAGAGACGAGACGAAATTTCCCCCTGATACTACGATTTGATTTGTCACTGCCTTCCCCGAGATCGTTTAGGTCTCAATTTACGTAGCTATCGCCGAGGAAATTCAAAAAACGTCGTCGTTGTTGAATGGCGAAAGAGGTAATTAGCATAACAATGGTTTTGACCTTTGTCGCCATTTTTAATTATCCATATTGAAAAATTGTTCTGGAGATTATTATTTTCAATAAACAATATTCAACCATCCTTCTGCAACACCAATAAGATAATTACTTATGGTATGTCACTAAGCAGTCAAAAAAAAAAAAATCATGATGCAATGTTTTTTGGTCTAAGAAACTAGGGGGCAATACCAGTGCACGAGTCTTATTTAAGAACTCCTCCCAGAGCAACTGCACACATAATAGGGATACATTAACAGCTCCTAAGGATGGTATTCCCAGAATAGCACCAGCTGTTAATGACACATAAAACTTTAATTCTCAACAACGATAAAAGGGACAGTTACTGTGACAAAGCACTACTACCAGCGAAAGCAAGTATAATGATATATACACATACAAATAATAGTATAGTAATATAAACATACCTTATATACTAATATAAACATACCTTATATAGTAATATACTAATATAATTGATATGATCAAATAATGAAAGAATTATTAATTTTGGAGTGACGTCACTCGTACCAGTCTATTGATGATTACTTCTCCCAACACCCATTCACAGCATGAGTAGTATAATCCATCCTAATTTATCATCACAATAGTTTGTACATGTTTACCAATATGATTACAATATGCTATATGTAGAGGCTCCATTCGACGGTGTACATCCCCTCTAACTGGTTTCCCGACGGAATTTGTAAACCAACCGACAAATCTCGGCATGCTACGTGTCACAGTGTAAGTCCTGCTTATTGCAATTGAGAGGGCCATCCACAGAACTCACACTGGACAGGGGGTTCTTTCACTGCTAGAATGGTGTAGATAAGGCAATAGTACTGAAAATGAAATAAACATACACCAAAATATCGAGTTAAAGCTCCTGGCTTTAATACCTCTCAAAATGATTACAAGAAATAAAGCACGGAAAAATACAATGAATAAAGTCACTAAAATAGTGGTTTGCTTAGGGAAGTGTGCATTGGTGATAACTCACAGTTCCAGAATATAAACTAATGTATGACAGTCAATGGCTTCTGCAACGCAAAAACAAAGAAATACAGGAGTCTTGCTTGCAGAGGAACGCTGGTATTCTGGAGGGCACCGCTAAAAGCAGGAGATCGCAGAGCAGTTCATACAAGTCTCAGAGATTGATGGTTGTAGCCTGTATCACTTGTCACGCAATATCGTAGCAGGACACACCGGATACCAAGTTGAAATAATGGACTCAAACTGTCCTGAGTCCGTCCAATTTATAGGCATGATTCAGTGTCACCACCTGGGTTTCCACATAAGCCAATCAGAATGTGATTTGCTAGCAGCTGTGTCACGTAGGAAACTTAGTAGATCATAAACATCCTTTGTTATTCAAATAACAGCACACCTGGTAGATTCCTATTCTTCTTCCAAAGGTTGTAAACACCTTTTGTTATGTTAATCACAAGCACACCTGGTAGATTCCAACTGTCCGTCCAGAGTTGAAAACAAGTATGACCTGTCAATCACCTTTATCACACGACAATGCACACCGTTTTTTCCCATGATTCCATGCACACTTCCATTTGCAGGATTTGTGGTAATATGACTAAAACATAAAATAAAGGATGCTGACACTATGTGTTTTGGGAAAGCCGTTTGTAACGCGAACATTAAAGCGGGGGGGGGGGGTCGTCACCCGCGACGATTAACAACACACGCTAAAAACTTAAAGGCTCATGGGTAGACGCTTGTTTGTAAACAATGACACGCTAAGGCCATCTGACGCATGCACAGGTGACGACTCTCCCGCTTTAATTGTTTATCGAATGTGACCTGAGCGCGATTTGCATTTTCAAATGTTCAGTACATGGTCAGTAGTACTATGTTGTCGTGTGACCCATTTTATCAATTGTTTAAAAGCGTCTCTGATCGTCTTATTTAAAAGCACGTAGAGTACAGGGTTGATTACTCCGCCAATATGGTTAAGAGGGTATGAAAGCATCATTACTTCCGGAAATCGACCATGTTTCCCGTATAAGTTCACCAAAATACTAAATGGTATATACTCAGCTAGGATAAACAAAAACACAGCGAAGACAGTCGCAAGTACGTGGAATTCTTTCTTCGTTAACACTTGTTGTGAGAGTTGATTATTAGTCCATGCTTGGTTATGTCGTTGTTGTTGTTGTACACGCCGTCTGCTCTGGTATACGTATATAAATATCACGATGTAGCTGGTAATAACTGTGATAATAGGTATGATGATCAGAATTATCATAGAAAAGGTGGTTTTTCTAGTCGGTAAACAACGGAGTGAAATTGGAGAATAGACCGATGCACCAGGCACGATGAAGTTGCGTCCAATCAAGATCATTGGCAAAATCCAGGAAAAAATAATAGCCAATGTAATCGTTAACTTTGTCGTCAGTTTAGGAGAGCGTTCATGGTGTACGATGGATATATAACGATTCAAAGAAATACTGGCAGTTATCCATAGGGACACAACGCTGAGAATTGGATATAACATATTATGTGCAATACAATAACGAGTTCCCAGACGCCATTCACGGCGGATGAAAGCATCTGCCGTTACCGAAGAAACAAACAATGCTGAGCATAAGTCGCATACGCTGAGACTGATCAAAAACGCGTTAGATTTCTTCCGTAGCCTCTTTGTCGCCAGCACCACGACGATAAATGATATATTACCTAACAGTGTAAGAACTGCGAATAATACCTCCACCGATCCGGCAAGTTGTGACACCCACCTTGCAACAGGCTGTATTGAAGCAAACTCGGTTACAGTAGTTTTGTTCATGTTCTTTCTTCCTAATGTTGAATACAGCCTCAGTACATGGACATGATGGCATGGAAACACAACAACTGAAAATCTACACACTGAGTGGAATGAGAATATAACATGTAACAAGATGTTTTCTCAGGATATTGAAATCCACACCATTATAGAAATTAAAACTCCTCAAGGCCTGAATTAGGGTAATGTGATATGAATATTCACGTGTAAACGTCATGAACGCGGACAAATGGCGGACTAGCCACGGAAACATGTGAATGTTCTGCTGCTAGTCGTATCTTGTAGTTTAGAAATGAAAATGTAGCTGACATTTGTTTTATTGCACTATGTGTCAGCACTAGCACTTGCAATTCGCACATAATTTGCACATACAAAAAAAAAGTCAGGAGAGACAACAGTGACACTCAATGTCTAGAACTGTCGCCTGGCACAAAAATATTTAAAAAAATGACCATTCAAACGCTTATTAACACGGATGAACAGATTGTCGGTTTGTACAAATAGACTGATTGGTCGCCTGTAATAGAAGGGAGTGCCGACGAGTTTGCAAGCTAGTGCATCCTGTAATGAACGCGTAAACCTCGGGTTTGATAAAACAGTTTGCTAAGCAAAACAACAAGAATTTGTACTTTTAAATGTCCGGCACGTTTTGTTGTTAGTTACGTCTACCATTCTGAGATATACATCACAATGACCAGATACAAGATAATTATGATACAAAATCTCATATACATTGAGGATATTTTTTTTTTCGAATTGTAAATTTTGAATATTTGTATTTATTTTGAAGCAAGTCATGTGATATTTATCGAAACCCTCCGAATTTGTAATGTTCAATATGTTTCGAAAATTACCCATTCTAAGATGGACCCAAAGACAGAAATAATGGAATATGAATTACTTTGTTTTTCTTGTATGCCAGTGATCTAATCGAAAGTTAGTATAGGCAAGTGTAATAACACATCATATGTATATTTTGAAAGCCTCGCATTATTCGAGTTTAATTCTACCAATCTTTTGTTACGAGGCCGAAGTATGAAGTATGAGCGATCATACAAATCAGAGTACAACAATAATGGTGCCCGATGATTTCTAGTAATGCCCCAGAAACAGAAATGTCTTTTGGTGCGTGATGCCGTTTTTTATATGTTATTAGAAGTCCTAAGCACCGGAAGTAACGTGTTATATAACCAAATGAAACCGTTACGGCATCAGAATCGAAAATTGCCTAGTATTTCCGTAGATTGTTTTGCGATTTGATATTCAGCCCCTTAGGGATCACCGTGATCACAGAATAGAGAACATTTTTCATTAAGACAGGCCTGCAATTCACACAAGTGTCTTGCTTTGGGATAACTCCATTGTTTCACTGAGTGAACTTCCAATAGTATGTACCTACGCACAAGGCGAGAAATATGAACAGCAATGCATGATGGGATTGTTTAGATAAATGAACCATGATCCGACACATATAACTCATGACCGCTTTAATCCATAGATTAAAAGCTCAACAATATATATATCAAAGGTGAACGTGAACTCATTCGTAAGAAAGTTGACACTCTCCTGCCACACATCAATATTATAAAGTTCCATGACCATATATGGGCAAACACAATTGTCATACCTAATGTGCACGTCTTCCATTCTAATAGGATTATAGAACTATTTATTTAGAAATGAACACTTATCTGAATTGTTCAAACGAACTTTGAAAAGAAATTTCCCCGTTGGAAACGCGCCAAGGAAAATACGCTACTGCAGATCCCGTTTTTTTAATGACTGGTGCTTCATAGCAATCCTTAAAGTTGGGTTTAGCATTTTCAGGCAGACTAAGGATGTCACGCCAAACAGTGTCAAGTTTTTGTGCGTGTTGTTTTATAGAGAAGACACATATTAGATATTTATAGATTGCGCCCTTTTCAAAATTATATAATGGCAAATTTAGTTCATCAGAAAAGTGCAGTTCAAAGCTATGATGTGAAAGAACTTCACCTTTCCTTTTAACTAAGTGTTGATGGTATCTATCCATTTGGTAGGAATAGTCGCGGGTCGCTAACTAAATTTCGATCAAGTAATCATTCCCTGAAAATTGAATATGGTCGCTATTCTAATATTATAATACCGGTTGATGAAAGGATCTGTGAATATTGTGATGGTGATCACATCGAACATGAACGACATATTCTAATGGTTTGTACAAAATACCAAATGAACAGAAAGAAATTATTTTCAGATGGGACCAAAACGTTATCGACAAGCTTCCTAAAACCGGCAAATAAACACGTGAAGCATAATAAAACTGTTTCACATCGTAGCATAAAGTACGCGACTGAACCATTGTTTAGCATTGGGGGAAACGGAAATTACTCGCTATGAGGATGTCAGAATAAGCGAGTATGTATGCTATAAAAAAGTGAAGACTTTGAATGTACTTTGTGTATTTTAGTGAAATGTCATTTTTTTGTTTGATTTCCGAGCGCTTTTAGATTCATTTGTTGCAAGTTAGAGTGCACATACCTAATCACATAGATTTTCAGTGTCAAATCGTAAAAGTGTCGTTTTTACGCATATGGGAAGTCCGAATTACTAAACAAA